ATATATATAATTAAGTAAGCAAGTTTAAGTAAAGAAATATAGCAATCAGCTAATACATATGTTAAAGCAGCTTCGTAAGCGTGAAGAAAATAAAGGCGGGATTCAAATAATGTTATTTGATCCATTTTTAAGCTTTTTCGTTTCTATAAACAGTTTCATATAATCTGATAAATGTTAATATTTAAATTTATCATAAATTGTCACATTGGCGTATATATCTATGTACGTGGCGATCACCAGGCGATAACAAACAGGTCTCAATATAAAGCTTTCAGTGACGGTCAAGTAGTTTAATAGCAGCATTTTACCTGAAATAAAATGCATATTAAAATACTTACCTCACTGAAAGCTTTCACTTTAAATTCTGCCTGGTGAAATAATTGAGCCAATGAGTTAATATGGCGCTGTCAAAACTTAGGAAAACAAAAATGGCCGCGCTTCTGCCAGGTGTCGCCACTGGACCGGATATAAGGTGATTAAAAGTACGGAAACTGATGGTAATTCGACGGGAAACGGAAGTGCTATCTCAATATAAAGCTTTCAGTGAGGTAAGTATTTTAATATGCATTTTATTTCAGGTAAAATGCTGCTATTCAATGGCCCGCGTCCGGGGCGGGTTTATGTCACACTTGCTATAAAATAGTATACGATACTTGTGGCTTAAGTTGTCTATTACTGCATGGCGTTTAGCACCCTCGCTCCGCACGCCGTGCAGTAATAGGCAACTTAGGTCACGCGTATCGTAATGTACTATTTAAGGGGGTAAACGAGGCGCTCAAAAATTACGACTTTTTGCAAAAAATGTGAAAGGGCTCTTAACAGCAGGTGGGGTAGAGTCAGTTGCCTACCTGACTATGGTTGTAAGCTGATTGAATTTTAATACTTAAATATATTTGTATTTGTACGCACATAAATATCAGATATTTATTTATTTCAACTTCATTGCCACAATAAGTTATTTACTATTTAAGTTATTTATATAACCAAGGTACATGGTAACAATCCCGTAAATAACTTATATTACTATAATGTAAGTGAAAGTTTCAAACAATATATTTATTGCCACAATAACAAAAATTGACAAAAGGCGGACTTAACGCTAAAAGCATTCTCTGCCAGTCAACCTTTAGGCATAAAGAAATTCACGAATGCGGCTATAATAAAAAAAAGTGATTTACTATAAACATACACCAATAAAAAATTATATAACAGATACCTACACAACTGCATTAAAGGGAAACAAAACAAAAACATAATAGGCAATATAAAACGAAACTTTGATAATACAGATTATTTATATTGATTTATAATCTTTAGACTTCCTTTCGAGGAACTGTACCTGATAAATAAATATATAACATTATAATCCGATGATCATCGTTCACGATAAGAAATAATCTTTGGTGGCAGGAAATCAGTAGTATCAAACCGGTTTCTACCGGACAGACACACTGGTTTTTTTCCTAATAGATTGATACCTTCAGGGGGTTTTCACTTATCTCTGAAGTTTCATAACAAATAAATACAAAAGTATTATTGGTATTTTTTTAAGCCTTTAACTGCTGGAATTATAAATCTATTGTATCTATAATTTATTCAGTTTTTTTTTAATTGTTATACAAATAAGGGCTATGTGAATCAATTCAAATACATAGTAAAAATGAACTTATTGACTTGCATGAAATTAACCTATATTGTACCTACTGATGATTTGATGTGATTATCTTTTGACATTTTATTTTATCAATGTATTAGAATTTTATTTTACAAATAAGTATATACCAGTATACTGGCCAGCGCTAATGACGTCGTGAATAGACGCTATACTAGTGAATTGTTCCGAAATATACAGACCAGTGCACTGACGTCATAAATCGACGAAATATTAAAAATAGTGCGAATAAAGAAGATTTTTTTATTCACCTCATTAATTAAAAGGAATTCTCTTTGTTCGGATGCCATTATTGTTCTTTAAACAAAAAAGAAATAAAATTCGAATGCATTTCACGCACGCTCGGTCTTATGTCATATTCATTTTCCCGGTAAAAATATGGTACAATATGGCGTCGGCTTCGTGACGTCATTACCACCGGCCAGTATACTGATGTACATTTCGGAATACACCTAGATATATAGATAATATAAAAAAGACGTAAACATAAATTTAAATCTATACTTCAAACAACTTTTGCATGCTGGAAACGGCTAATTGTGCGCTCTGACGTTATCATTTAAAAACATCATTGTAACCACAATTAATGCCAAGAAATTTCATTTCATATGTAAAGAAAAGTTTACTAGTAAACATTCCAGTGTTCACTCTGTCCAGGCGCCAGAGCATGAACTACGAACTATGACAGACCAGTAATTGTATTGCTACTAGTCTGGCCTGCTTTTAAGTCCGCTATATTGGATTATGAGTAAGGTAACTTTATTTTTCGAGTTATTCTCAGCAAGCCCTTTCATTTGATACCCATAATAGTCCAGTCAGTATTGTCGCGAAATCCGTTTTTCCTCAAACAGCTGGAACTATGCTAAAAAGTTTCTTAAGATAGTAAAGAACACTTTACATAGAGAAAAAAATGTTTCCAACCCCGGGCAAGGGTGAAAACCACCCTTAATAATCTATTTTTCCAATTATCTCAAAAAGTATACGAGATACGGAAAAAAACTTCAAATGAAAATTGTAGATCTTTTTGAAATCTACAAAACATTATTCCACCCTCTTGCCCCTATTTTCAATAGGGGAGCCAATAATCGAAGTCAAAGATTCAATACTTAAAAAGTTAAAGTTAGTTAAAAAAGTTATCTTTGACTTCGATTATTGGCTCCCCTATTGAAAATAGGGGCAAGAGGGTGGAATAATGTTTTGTAGATTTCAAAAAGATCTACAATTTTCATTTGAAGTTTTTTTCCGTATCTCGTATACTTTTTGAGATAATTGGAAAAATAGATTATTAAGGGTGGTTTTCACCCTTGCCCGGGGTTGGAAACATTTTTTTCTCTATGTAAAGTGTTCTTTACTATCTTAAGAAACTTTTTAGCATAGTTCCAGCTGTTTGAGGAAAAACGGATTTCGCGACAATACTGACTGGACTATAATATAGGAAAAAATAAAAAACTTAGTCGGCAATCTTTTTAAGTCCGCCATATTGGATTTAAAGTGACGTCACTTTATTTTCGAGTTATTCTCAGCAAACCCTTTCATTTGATACCGTATAATATAGCGAATATAAATAACGAATTATATCATGCATCCAAAGATATTTGCTCTCGAATCATGATTGTTTATTTATTTATAAAGGTATGTATTTAATGCATTATTTATTTCCATTTTTTCAAAAAAATAAAAAAACAAAAAAAAGACAAAAAACAGAAAAAATAAAAAATATAACAAGTACTACTAACTACCCACGATTTCACTTTCTACTGTTTACACGATTAAAATTTTCTTCCTAGACCTTGTATTGAACATATAAAACACAATAGAAAATCGCTTCCGTCCGGTGGGTCGGTATACTTGCTCGATGCTTTGAATGGGTTACAGCGGCGCGCGATCCGCATCATAAATAAATAAATATTTCCAACACTCACACCAATTAGCCTAGCCCCAAAGTAAGCACTGTAAGGCTTGTGTGGATACTAGGGTAACGAATGGAATACATATACTGTACATATATAAGTATATTTTAAAATCTAAGTATCTATCTATCTATCTATCTAAGTATATTATAAACATCCATGACTTGAGTACAGATGCTCGTATTCATCACACAAACATCGGTACCCTTAGTACGAGTTTTTCAATAACGAAAACTATGATAGTTTTCGTGAGCTCGCACTCGTACTAAGGGTATTGATTTTATTGTTTTCGTTACAATACAAATAAACAGTGTTTAAATTCTACTATTAAATCGTTTGCGTCTTCTTAAATTTTAAAAATATTTGGTTACTTTTCACCAACATGGACATAGAAATATAATTTACAATTACGAAAACTATGATAGTTTTCGTGAGCTCAAACTCGTACTAAGGGTACTGCCCCCACCAGGATTCGAACCCGGCACCTCTCGAGTCCGCGACACCATGAAACCCGGAGGACAAACCATTCGGCCACGGAGGTCGTCGTAGGCGATGAGGAGGTGACTAAACACCTGGAGCCTCTTCAATTACGCCGTGACGTGGCGTCACTAAGCGCGTTCTATCGTCTGTACCACGGCGAGTGTTCTGAGGAGTTATTCTCTCTTATTCTACCTTCCCCTTTCCTTCAGAAGACCACAAGTCAGTGGCGGATTTACAAATTTGCCGCTAATAGGCTATTAAATTTTTGCCTCCCTTACTGACCTTTGAAATTCAATACGCTAGTTCACAATTATATTTATTCTGAAATTGCAACTTTATGATTTGTGTTCTATCGTCCACATTACTTCGGCTTTTCCCCGTTAGTTTAAAAAATTACTAAATTTAAATTGTAATTAATATTGAAACGCTAATGGAATATTTTAAAAATTTATGATCGCATAAGTATATACCTATATTTTACAGTGCGTTTAGTAATCTTTTATATACGGATTACGGACGTAAGTGTGTTGAGTATACTGTGCATTACTAAAATATTAAAATTTTTGTCACTCGTTTTTCTGTGTAGATTTTGGGCCAAATTTGCCGCCCCCTTAAATCTGCCGCCCTAGGCTCCAGCCTACTGAGCCTACTGGTAAATCCGCCACTGCCACAAGTGCTTGCCTACGTTGTCACCATCTAACTGTGGCCACAATTCTTACGAGTACTAAGAAATTTGGTGACTCATTTCACTGTCGCACTATTCGTAAACGGAATGCTCTGCCCGCTCACGTGTTCCCTCCCTTTTACAATCTGGGATCCTTTAAGAGGCGTGAAGAAGCAACATGCAGGCCGGCAGGGTGAGGATGGCTGGTGTGGCAGGTAGAACTGCTGTATCAGCTATCTTCGCGTTTGGACTTCACCATGACTTAACATCAGGTGGGGTGAAGTGAAGTTTGTCGGAACTATCTATAAAAAAAATCAGACGCGGCATTGATATAATGTTATCTATCCGTAGTTTGTGTGACAAAAGTGTTAGATATAGTATTATTGACATATCTTCTTGTGGTCCTCATTCTAGCTGCGGCAACGCTATCAAAAACCCATTTGGAATTGACTTCCCCGTCCCCCACTCCTATAGTCAAATCGTGGTCGCCATTTTGTTGAGTGCCGCCATCTTGTACGAAGCCGCCGCAGAGTTTTAACAGTTGTATAGCTGCATCCCTTTGTTCCGCTTCCGGTGTAATTTTCACTCGCATCCCACTGAATACGTCGTATGCGTATTCAGACTGTAGACGCCCTAGTGCTGTGCGTTCTATACGCGCTTTCTGTAAAGGAAAATATTATTTAAGTGAAACGTCTGCAAGCTTGACTTACGGGGTAAGCTAGCGAATGCGTTACGCGTTACGCAAAGTGTGTTCGGGCGAGGCGAACGGGAATTAAGAGAAAGCAGTGCGCGCATATTTTTTTTCTCTACTTCTCTTATAGCTAGTAAATATGAATATGTACATACATGTATATATTGTACACACACACACACATATCAATCAATCAATCAATACTTTATTGCGTTCTACAATGTTTTCTTAGATCTTAGTAGGTACATTGCTTTGATCATTGTAGACCCTGAACAGGGCACAGCAAACAGAGAAGAGGACGCATTCACTAATTGTAATTTACGAGTAGTTAGTTAGTTATTTATATATGTATATATACATATAGATAGAGCTAAAGAAGTTTCACTTCAGTCGAGTGGTCACAAGGACACTCGATTTTTTTTTGCTCTTATTTTAATTCATTTAAAGTTCTATGTGTACGCTTTTACAATAAAGTACATAACAATTTCAACACTTGAGCGTCAATAAATTTAAAGCTACGATTAAAAAAGTTCTTATTTATAAAGCTTACTATGTATAATGCATTTGATTATGTTTCAGACAAAAAAGGTGTCGACAGGCTGTTTGTTAAATTATGATAAGGATGATATGAATTTGTATTGACATCTTAACAATACAATATTTATGGTTTTATTTTTTTAAGCATTTAACTGCTAATGTTTAATACCAAAGAAAAGTTTTACTAGAAAAGAAATCCACGCGGACCAGGCAGCGGACGGGACTCGAACCCCTTCGTATTCCGGGCGAATGCACTGACCAATTATGACGCAAATGGTTTACGCGTTCGGCTGCAATTGTTGAAGTTAAGCAACTTTCGCAGTGGTCGGTCATTGGATGGGTGACCGAAAGTTTACTATCTCGAGCTCCTAGCTTCGGTAGGCATGTTTAGCCGTTGGTCCCAGCTGCATCTGCAGTCGTTAGCACACACCAATCCACACCGGGCCCGCTTGGTGGGTCACGGCTCGATCTCCCTATTCCATCCATAGAGAAGACCACAGAACACAGAAAAAGGTTAGAAGGGTGATCATAGTTCGTTTGTACGGAAACCCACGTTGCCGGCTCACCCACTACACTTTCATCTAATAGATAATAGCCATTAAAACGACGCGACATCAAACAATCGAACAAATCAGCGCTACCATCCGAGAGCAACGATGCAATCAGAACCAAGTTTTGGTCAAGTTATGAGCATTTGCTCACACATAACTGTGGCGCCTGCCCCGGCAACAAGGACCTTTTAACCTCTTTGTGTGTTCTGTGGGGAAGACCTGTGCCCCAGCAGTGGGGAAGACCTGTGCCCCAGCAATGAGGAAGACCTGTGCCCCAGCAGTGAGGAAGACCTTTGCCCCAGCAATGAGGAAGACCTGTGCTCCAGCATTGAGGAAGACCTGTGCCCCAGCAGTGGGGAACTTGGGGAAGACCTGTGCCCCAGCAGTGTGGACATTTATTGGCCGATGATGATGATTATAACAAAAACTACTCTATTGACAACAACTTACTATAATACTACTACAACTACAACTTACCTCAGCTATCTTCTTCAAATGTGGCACTATGTACTCGTGGTGGTGGAGCCATTGCCCCCGGGTCGCGGATTCGATTCCCCATCGAGCGTACAGTACGCGGGTCCCTCTGGCCGCTCCCAGTAAAGCGTTTAAAGTACGAGCCTTGATTATGTCACTGCGATGGACTACACTTTCAGCTGTGAATAATAAATAATTTTCACAATAAAATCAATAGGCATGATGACGGGGTTAAGTAAACGAAACTATATTAAGCCTCTCTTGAGTTTGTTTCGCCGGTTCTTCTCAGGAAGGTCTCCCAATTTTGGAACCGGTGGTAGTTTACGGTAGTTAGGGTCAAATAAATAAACTCAAAATTACAAACAAGAATTTTAAACAAAATACTTTATTAAGTAAATTAAATAATAAATTCATACATAGACAATAAAACTTAAAAATCGAACAATGAAATAACCAAACGCTCAATAAAAGTCTTTCGAAGGTAGCTCGACAGATTAAATAAAAGTTTTATTCTGACGACGTAGCCTGTAAAGACTACGAAACGTTAATAAATAAATAAATAAAGTTTTCGTGCATTAACCCGTAAAAACTAGTTTTATTTATATTCGTAAGTCCGTCAGTTAGATCAATAAAAAAATAATGAACACTATAAATAATAATAAACAAGCGAGCGAGCCTTACAGTAGTCGCGTATGATGTGTAACATTTGAAACCTCACCTTATATTAGTAAAAAAAGAAATAAAACCTACTACAAAATAAGCCATTTGAACATTATGTTCTACAATCAAATAAAATAGCGCGTGCTTTCGCGACTTCCTGTTACACACTTCCGTCCCATTTCACGAAATCACTCCCACAAATTGCAGGAAAGCGAGAGGAAAGATGTTACACATCAATAAATATTTCCAACACCCACACCAATTAGCCTAGCCCCAAAGTAAGCACTGTAGGCTTGTGTAATGGGATACTACGGTAACGGATAGAATACATATACTGATACAAATATAAGTATATTCATAGAGAAATACATATTAAACATCCATTTTGACGACCTCCTTGGCCGAGAGTTTGTACGCCGGGTTTCATGGTGTCGCCGACTCGAGAGGTCCCGGGTTCGAATCCCGGTGGGGGCAGATGTTTGTGTGAAGAATACGAGCATTTGTACTCCAGTCATGGTTGTTAATATGTATTTCTATATAAATATACTTATATATGTACAGTATACGTATTTTATCCGTTACCCTAGTCTCCCATAACACAAGCCTTATAGTGCTTAGCTTGGGGCTAGGATAATTGGTGTGTTAAAAAAATAAAAATGACTGGAGTGCAAATGCTCCTATTCATCACACAACCATCTGCCCCCACCGGGATTCGAACCCGGGTGATCAATGACCCTTTTCAAATCTTAGACTATGTATATGACATACAATGTTTAAGTGTCCTTCATTAAATATGTATGAATGACGTCAATAAATAAAAGCTTATCATACAAATACTATAAATGTGAAAGTATGATTTGTGGGTAGGCATTGCAATCCGGCATCATTTTCAGTCCGGCCGGATACGACCGGATTCCCATCAATCGAGCAAATAAGGATGATTTTAGCTTTTTCATACAAAATAAGTGAGTTAATCAAAAGTCACTGCACTTATATGTAGGTAGTTTGTAAAAAAATAAATTACAAATATGTAGAATCGACTTTATTTCCTAACCAATGTTAAGACAAATATACAACAAGAAAACGCTTTCAAAAAGAGGAAGTGACAATTTTAATACCACAAGGCAGTGTCCTCGGATGTATTTTATTCTTAATTTATATCAACGATCTTCCTCATGTTATCGATGTACCTTGCGCTTTATTTGCAGATGACATATCCATAGTAATACCCATCGAAAATAATCAAAACCATAATATAAATAACATAATACACAGCATATTGTCAAAAGTAAACATCTGGTTAAATGAGCATAACTTACAAATCAACTTTAAAGAAACAAAATTAATAGAATTCTGACCTCATCAAAGACACCCCCTAGACATAATCTTTCAAATCAATAATGAAAAAATTGAACTAGTTGATAATTACCCCCTCTTAGGAATAAGCATCGATTCAAATATAAATTGGAAGGAACATGTAGATAAAATTGCTATTAAATTGTCAAGATTTTCGTATGCATTACATTATTCAACGTTGAACTTAGTACTAATATGTCAGTATTCCTTTAAGCGTGCGAAATATTGTTAATTGTGTCATCAGCTAAACGACTTTTAATAGAGCTGCAAATATAGACTGCGGCCAAAAAGGCCCTTTCAGCTTCTATACTTGTCGGCTTTATTGTCAGCAAAGACTCAGCGACGAGCGACTCGTACGTTAAAGTACCTAGTCATGCAACAGCTATATTATTTTACCACAAACTGCTAGCACCGGATCCGATATACTGGTACCGGATCCGGTAACCGTCAAATGATGCCGGATCCGCCGGATTACCGGATCCGTTTTTCCGGATTGCAATCCCTATTTGTGGGTGATTAGGTCATGCTACTCTGTCATCGGAGGCCCAAACGCGAAATTTTGACTCGGAAATCGTATCGTCATTTTTGAATTTTGTATCGAACATGCCAGTTTTTTATTTTTTATAGCCAGGTAGGCAAATGACTCTACCCTACCTGATGTTTAGTAGTGATAAAGTCCAAACGCGAAGATAGCTGGTACAGCAGTTATAAACTGCTACACCAACCATCATCACCTTGCCAGCCTGGAGGAATGCTTCTTCACGCCTCTCTTAACCCCAGACAGTAGTCATGCTCTTTTAATAGTCTCTTCGGCGGTGTCGTGTGAGGCGGGTCGTTACGTTCCCTAAAATATGGTTGAGCGAAGCGATAGCTGGTTCATGCGTCATGCTCGTGAACGGGTGCTGCCAGCGGAGATGAGTCTGCCCTAACTTCCTTAATATTGAAGTTAATGTTTAGTCACACTTAATATAAATAACACTATTTGTATTTTTACTGTATGACACAAAAAACAAAATGCAGGTAAACAATTAATGTATATTTAATAATTATGTAATGAAAGGTGACTTCATGAATCATCTCTGAAGTCATTTTTCAATTTGACGACTCTGTAAATAATAAAACAGGGAGAAAAAAACAGCCCTTGCTGAGTTTCTTGCCGGTTCTTCTCAGTACAAGGTCTCCCGCCGTAGATTTACGAAACGATGGCGTAGCTTCTAGACATTCATCAGTGCTTGTAACAGCCTAAACTGAATAAATGATTTTGATTATGATTATGATTAGATTTGTAGTAATGTTCGGTAGGGGCGCTGCTAAGTTCTCATAGAAACTATGACGATACGCTTACGGAACTGTTAAATTTCGTGCTTAGGCCTCTAGGTTCATATTTACCTGAGTTATTGCATTCGTTCCCTGGGTTGGTCCCCGCGGCAGGGTTTCTTGTTACGTCCGGTAGAGGCGCTGCTTACTTCTCATAGAAACTGACGATATTATACGATTCTGAGTTGACAAAGTTCATGCTTAGGCATCTAGGTACATATTTACCTGAGTTATTGCATTCGTTCCCTGGGTTGGTCCCCGCGGCAGGGGATTGTTGGCACGACCCCAACAACACATGCGTAGTAGACTTATTCACTCTACTCTGTATACGTCCGTTCAGGGAACGTATAGCTTCTGTAACGGAACGCCTCTCCGATCTACTCATACCGGTCAATACCTGGACATTATAATGAAACAATCATTATTGAAATGCAACTTCTTTACTCATGCTTGACTTGGGGAGTGCGCTGGCGAACTCGTTACGAAAAGTGTGATAGGGCGTGGCGAACGGGAGTTGAGTGGGGGATATAAGGGGCCGTTCAAGTATTACGTAAGCAGATTTGTTACAATTATTTACCCCCTCTTCCCCCTTGTCAACAAAAGTAAGGAATGCTAAGCCCAATGCGTACTGTTACATCCCTTAGATGTTAGCTGTTGAGCTGACAGGCCAGCTGATGCTGCAGCATCAGCATTTTGTCCCCAGCCGACGCGCTCGCCTCTCGAGCGCGCCAGTCTCTCCCGAACCTCCGTGACGGCTGCCAAATTCACCTACACTCTAATTTCTATGTTTAATTTCATTAATCCTTTTTTTAAAACGCCAATTCCGAGGCTCGATATAACATTGGTGGCAGCGGTGGGATCCAAAAAGTGGATCCTCGGTACGTCTCCCGAATCAGTGTCAGTGAATTAAAAGTTTAATCCGCCGCATCCCACAGTATCGCCGCTCGCCTATTCCTACTATATCCGGACGCTGTGCCCATTATATTCGCTACACTGCACTACTCCGACGCCGAACCCGAAACTACGAAGAAACTTAGAAAGGAATCACTGTGTCTAAATTCAAATTCAGTGCATTAAGAAAGTACACCGTACATGTGAACATTCAACTCTGTACTGCTCCGACGCCGATCTTGAAATTATAAAGAAACCCAGAAACAAATCGCCGTATTCAGTTTCATATTCAGTGCTACAAAAGTGCGCCGTTCCTGTGAAAAGTGTGAACATTCGTTTAATAATCGTACGCGACGCCCTTATCGCCCAAGAATGCGATCAACGCTTCCTGTCGCCGTCACCGTGCTCAGTGCTTATACAACATTGTTGCAGTGAGTCTGACTCTTTGTTTGTACTATTACTCTGTGTCTTTGTTCCGTAATTAAGTTCTATTGTGTTCTAAATCATTATTATTCAGTTGTACCTTAGATTACTAACTATTACTTATAATTAGGTTGCTTAAACTACTGTTAATTTTATCAAGTAAGAAATTTCTAAACTCGTGTTAAACAAAATGGATAACAAAGTAGAAGGATTAGATTATGAACTTCCTCTAGACACCGAAGACGAAAGGGGCCTAAGTCCATGCCCAAGCGAAAGGAGAACGCGCTCAAAGGCCCAAAAGGCGCCGCCTCCTCCACAAAGTTTAGACTTAGGTATATTACTCAAGTTTATAAAGCCCTACGATGGCAGTAGGGACACCCTAAACTCATTTATTATAAATTGTAACAATGCATACGATTTGGCTAACAATGCTCAAAAGCCAATACTCTTCAAATATATACTTTGCCAGCTCCAGGGAAAGGCCGAGGTAGCATGCTCCATTAAAGATTTTTATAATTGGGAACAACTAAAGGAGTTTCTCAAGACACAGTTTAGTGAGAGAAAACACTACTCGCATTTATTAACTGAACTACAAGAAAGTAGGCAATCACCTAACGAAAACGTGAACCAATATGCCCTCCGCATCGAAACATACTTGTCCCAGCTTCTAACAGAAATAACCTTGAATAATACTAAACTAAAGGAACTCCCAGGCCGCACAGCAGCCATTGAGGAGTTAGCACTACACCATTTTCTCATGGGGTTACACCCGCGTATTTCAAACATCGTAAGATGTAAAACTCCTAAGACACTCAATGAAGCAACAAACTTTGCTATATCAGAAGAACGCATCCAACAGACCCTTTATAAGAGAGGTAATTTCACGGATAGCAAACCTGTGAATAAAAACCTACGACCTTCTAATGCGAACCCACAATATCGATCCCAACCGTCGACATCGACGTTTGCTAGGCCGACTCATAATTACCAACCTCAACCCTCTACTATTACCTGCAGATACTGCAAGTTCCCAGGCCATAGTATCGAGAACTGCCGCCAGCGGGAATATAATAACAAACTCCGTAGCCAACAACCCTCGAGTTCCCATTCCAACTTCAACCCCGTTAGAAGGGTCAATTTCAATCATGAGCCAGAAAACGAGGGTCATGATGGGATAGATTTCGAGACACCGAACGGTAACGATTTAAACTAGTTAGCGCCTCGTTCGGGTGTCGCACGAGTCGCCTCCTAAGTCAAGAAAAAGACACCTCTGTGTCCATGGCCTCTCAAAACACTGAATCCAATACCGAATCTTCTATGCCTATTGTATCCAAATCCATGGCCATTGGAACCACCATATACCCTACCAAATCTACTAAATCCACTGAATCCAACGCATACTCTACCAAACCTACTAAATCCACTGAATCCAATGCACACTCTACCAAATCTACTAAATCCACTGAATCCAATGCATACTCTACCAAACCTACTAAATCCACTGAATCCAATGCACACTCTACCAAATCTACTAAATCCACTGAATCCAATGCATACTCTACCAAACCTACTAAATCCACTGAATCCAATGCATACTCTACCAAACCTACTAAATCCACTGAATCCAATGCACACTCTACCAAATCTACTAAATCCACTGAATCCAATGCATACTCTACCAAACCTACTAAATCCACTGAATCCAATGCATACTCTACCAAACCTACTAAATCCACTGAATCCAATGCACACTCTACCATATCTACTAAAGCCACCGAATCCAATGCATACCCTACCAAATCTACTAAATCCACTGAATCTAACGCATACCCTACCAAATCTACTAAACCCACCGAATCCAATGCCAATTATGCCAACTCCACAGAAGCCGTAGATGTTTACGAAATCTCCTTCGATCCCTCGAAAAAATCCTTACCATACGTAATAGTGAACAGTACTGCATCCGAACTTCCATTGACTCTCCTCGTAGACACTGGCTCCTCCATTAGCCTTGTAAAGGATACTAGCCTAAAACCAAACATTAATCTTCAAAAGGAGATCCTCAACTTGAAGGGCCTCACCTCCACTACAACAAAGGACAACTTAATAAAAACCTCTGGATCCTTCAACTTAAAACTATTGCTCAACGACAAAAACCCTAAGCACAACATAACGCATAACTTCCACGTTGTGAGCAATCTCGAATTCCCATACGACGGCATCATTGGCAATGACCTCCTTAACAATGCCCAAGGAAACATCGACTTTACGTCTAACACCCTAAAAGTTAAGCAATACCAAGTCCCAATTCGCTTCCAAGAGCCGTACTTCGTTATCCCCGCTCGCACCGAAAAAGTAATCGAAACCACTGTCTCAAATCCACAACTCAAGCAAGGGCTCATTCTCGATCAAAGTCCATGTCGAAACCTTCTAATTGCTAATTGTTTGGTAAAGGTCAAAGAAAATAATAAAGTCAATTTGACAGTAGCTAATCTCTCTGAATCCCCTGTAACGCTAAAATCGGATCTCAATCTCACTCTTTCTAGGGCAACAACCCTTAACCACGATAACCTCGCATCTGTCAATCCCTCTGTATCCTACCCAGAGAACAAGAATTCTGCTGAAAGAACACGTCGGGTCTTAGACCTCCTCCGCATCGACCACCTCAACGAGGAAGAAGCTGACGCCCTTCTCCACCTCTGTGCAGATTATTCCGACATTTTCCACCTCCCGGACGAAAGATTGTCTCATACTAACGCCATCAGCCATGACATTAAAACGACCAAAGAACAACCTATCCACACCAAATCCTATAGATTTCCCGAAGTCCACAAACAAGAAGTCCAGAAACAAATGAGCAAGATGCTCGAACAAAATATAATAGAACCATCCGTTTCTCCTTGGTCTTCTCCAATCTGGATCGTCCCCAAAAAACTAGACGCTTCTAACGAACAAAAATGGCGTGTAGTCATCGATTACCGAAAACTCAATGATGTCACAATCGGAGACACATACCCTATCCCACAAATCACAGAGATTCTAGATCAATTAGGCAATAGTAAGTATTTCTCAACACTAGATTTAGCATCTGGATTTCATCAGATTCTTGTAAATAACGCAGAAAAAACAGCCTTCACTGTACCTCAGGGGCACTTCCAATTCAAGCGCATGCCATTCGGTCTTAAAAACGCACCCTCCACTTTTCAACGGTTAATGAATACCGCCTTATCCGGTCTACAAGGCATCCGCTGTTTTGTATATTTAGATGACATTGTCACCTATTCTTTTGATCTGAAAACTATGATCCAGAACTTAGCCGTCATATTCCAGAGACTTCGTCAGTTCAACCTCAAATTACAACCCGATAAGTGTGAGTTCCTAAGACGCGAAGTCGCTTATCTTGGTCACGTCATATCCTCTGACGGAGTCAAACCTAACCCCGATAAAATCAAGGCCGTCGTGGACTTTCCCACTCCTAAATCCCCGAAGGATATCAAATCCTTCCTTGGCCTTGTTTCGTACTATCGCCGATTCATCCCAGATTTCTCGAAAATTGCCAAACCTCTGACTCTTCTCCTGAAAAAGGACATCACGTTCGCTTGGGAAAACCAGCAACAAGTTGCTTTCGATATTCTGAAACATAAACTCACCACTGCTCCTATCCTCTGCTACCCCGATTTCACCAAACCATTCATACTCACTTGCGATGCTTCCAATCATGCCATTGGCGCCGTGCTATCTCAGGGCATCGTTGGTAAAGACCGCCCTATCGCATACGCGTCTCGCACCCTAAACAAAAGTGAGACAAACTACAGTACCACAGAGAAGGAACTTCTAGGAATTATCTTCGGTTGCAAAACATTCCGACCATACCTGTATGGTCGTAAATTCCAAATCATCACAGATCATCAGCCACTCAGGTGGCTCTTCAATCACAAAGACCCGAGTAGCAAATTACAACGCTGGCGATTAAAACTCGAAGAATACGAGTATGAGATCGTTTATAGAAAGGGCAGACTCAACTCCGCTGCAGACGCACTCTCCCGCTATCCAGTAAACCCTATTCTTCCAAACCAACTCGAA